CCCCCCCCCCCCCCCATTGAATTGTTGAATGAGCGATTGTACTAACAAAGTGATGTCTCCCTCTGCCTCCAAGGTAATCCCTTCTAATCTTTGGAGTTCCACAAGAATCCCTTCCCCAACCTCCTGTATGGTCCTAATCATAGTCTTGAAGGACACCATGGCTCTAGATAATCCTGCATCTCCTAGGATCAGCATCCTCCTCTATACCTCCAATTCCATCCTCAGTGCTCCCCAATTGACCTTGGTATCCCAAGATCTGCAGCCACTTCATCCCCAGGATGACGCCAATGCTTCCTAACTCTAATGAAAGAAAATCATCCCTCACTTGAATCCCTTGAATAGTTAGCACTACTCCCTTACATACTCCTCTACCCATCTCAACCTTCCTCGTGCCTATCATCATCCCATAGCCCCCGGTGTCCACCAATTTCACCCCCAACAGATCTATAATCTAATTGTAGATGAAATTGTGGCCTTCCCCACTATTGATCATCATCATCACCTCTCTGACAGTTATCTCTCCCGTCACCTTCATGATGTGATTCGGGGTGAATCCCACCACTGAGTTCAAAGAGACTTCCACATATCTAGATGCAGCTTCTCCTCTTCCTCCACCACAGGCCCACTCTCACGTCCCTCCTTAGCTTCTTAGTTATCACAGATGATGAGAACCTAAAGAGTTCGATCCTTACACCTATGTCTCGGCATGTATTTCTTGTCAAATATGAAGCACAAGCCCCTTGCTCGCTTCTCCTAAAACTACTTAGTGAGCTTCTTGAAATTTCTCCCAAATCCCCCTCTAATCTTTTCCTTTGGGGCTTCACACAGACCTCCTGGTCTGGATCCCTTAGGAGCTAAAAATATGGTGGTCATCCTATACAATCCCCCTAAGCTGCTACCTCTAGTCCCCCTCTCCAGATACTTTTGGTCCTCGACCAATTATGCCAGCTTCATGGCCTCCCCCAAATCACGAGGCCTCATCACTTTGACAGCTGCTCTGATCTCTGATTTAAGCCCCTTCATAAAGTTCCCTTCTAGCACTATCTCAGAAAGTCGATCTAGCCTGCTAGTTATGTACTCAAATCTGTCACGGAACTCTCTCATAGTCCCCTCCTGCGTCAGGGCGAAGAATTGCTCATAGAAGTCTCCTCCCCTACTAGTTCAGAATCATTCAAGCAACCAGTCCTTGCTTCCGTCAACTCCGAATGGGTCACCTCATGTCCTTCCACTGATACCAAACCAACGCCTTCTCTTTCAGACATAGCCCCGCCGCTGTTAATTTCTCCTCCTCGATCAACCCGTTGCTACAAACCATCTCTTTATTTTGTAGATCCACCCATATGCGTCCTTTCCCTCAAAGATAGTCATCTTCAATTTCCTACCGTTGGGTCACCCCCGTTTCCTCTGAATCCACCGTAACAACCCATTCCTCGAAGAAGAGTTGCTCTCCAATTGTCATGCTCTTTCCTTCGGTGCTCAAACACATATCCTTCGTCAAAGTCTCCTCTCCTTTAAAAATCAACACCCCAGCGATCGAAATCCTCCCCTCTTCTCACAAAATCAGCACCCCTTCATTCATAGTCGATGCTTATCTCCTCCTTAGAAAGTGGCTCTAGCGGAGGGACCCATCTTCTCCCTCCAGAATCCCCACTTCTAAGTTTTTTCTTCCCCTAAACATGTTATGGTTGTCACCTCTTCCCTGGTCGCCGGTGGTTTCCTTTGCTTCAAATGTCGCCTGAGTGGGTTTGACTTCAAGTAATTTATTCAGCATGTCTTCTACTACGGCGAACCTTCCATCCATCTTTTCATGGACGGAAGCAAATTGATTCTAAAAATAAAAATAAAAATAAAAATCTTCAAAATCTGATTTGAGTTGACCTAATTCTCCCTCCAAAAATTTCACTTTCCTTCCGGCCATTGGTTCCCTTAGATCGAAATGCTCTGATACCAATTTGATAGGAAATAGCCACCAAAAATAAAGAAAACTGCTGAAATCACTGCGCAGATTTTACAAAATATGTGGGCATAATCAAGAAGAAAGCTCTTGAAATTCAATAATAGAAGAAAAAAAATAACATGATACAACGAATATTCAATTCGAGAGGAAGATCAGCTCTCCAAATCTCTAGCCAAAGTCTAGGCCAAAAACCAACATCAAGATCTCAAATTTCAGATTTAATTCAAAATAACACAAATCCTAACAAGAAGAAACTAATTAAAGCAAAAGGAAAATTTATTAATCCCTAAACATCACCAAATTTGAATTTTCCCTCCAACCCAAAAGTTGTGTAGGCACCACAATGTCGAACCATAGAGCATCACAATGTCCGATCCCTAAATTCGACCAAAATAAAAGAGAGCAAGACACCACAGCAAAGAAAATCCAGCGATGCAATGTCAGTAAGTAGCAACACCGAAGCGCTGAGTAGGGTGCCAAAGAGCCAAATTACATGAACATCATGACGCAACAATTAATTCAATTACCACATAAAAGAAACACATTGATTCAGTCATAGCACCGCACAATGAGATTCATGAGCATCGCAGCAATGAGATTCATGAGCGCCACAACGTTAATTCTTTTCACCAGTGCCGCAACACTGCTACTAGCAGCGACGTGGTTATTTGTAATAAATAGAAATAATTTTAGCTGAATTTATGAGGGGGCTGACCATATTTTTATTTGAAAATAGTATAAGAAAAAGTCTAGAAAGAGTGAAGAAGTGAGTGCAATTGCAGGAAGTCCATTCTTGTGATAAGAAAAGTCTGTAACGTGTTGTAAAGAACTTCGTGGTGGCATATTTTAAAATATCTCTTGCTTTTTTTAATTTTCAGATAAATGCAGTGTGTTTTGTTTATTTCCAATTCCATGGCCGGCTAAGATATTTCTTTGGGCATAGGATATGTTAGAAACCATGTGTCCTTAGGATTGGATCTTAATTCAATGAATCATTCAAATATTATTTTAATTCTCTCATACTTAATTTAGTTTATGTTGAGGTCTTGAATGAACTTAAAAATTAGTGTGATCTATCACTTTGACAGAGTAGAGGAACAATTAGGGGATTTAAAACTGAACTCTATCACATGGTTTAAAATTGCGCAATATGAGGCTCGCCTTGAGGCTCGCATTTGCGCAATTCCACTAAAGTACACCTCGAGTTTTTTTTATGAGGCTTGCGCCTCAACTTGGTTGAGGCCCGCCTCGCCTCACTAGCATGAGGCTTACACCTCACGCTATATATATTAAAACTTACATAAATCTTGAAGTAAATGCCCGACATTGGACTTATAGAAGAGGAGGAAGGGGAGAAAGCAGTTCACCATAATGATGATTCAAATGAAGAACCCCTTAGTGATGACAGTGCTGATGACTTATGAGTTCTTATGTGCTATGTCATTGCTATTTATTTTTGGAAATTGGAATTTTATGTTAATGAAAAGAATATTAGGATTTGGGAAAGATAGAGTTTTGAGTTGAACTATATTTTATGTTGTCTTATTATTGAGATATTTTGATTTAACTTCATATCTTATGCTTTTTTATGTTTTATATTATTCACTCATTAGTATATAAAAAATTTATCATTTTATGTTTACGCAATATTTTGATTTTGAGGCTTACGCCTCGCCTCACGAATGAAAAACGCCTCAATACCCGAATACAAAATTTTAAACATTGCTCTATCATGCATAGACATGATGGCTAGAGCTCTCGAATCTTAAATAGACATAATCAATGTAATTGAGTGAAAAGTTAGCTAAACACCCAAACATGCTCGACGGAGACTAAGAGTAAATTTGCTCTGATTCATAGTAACATTAGTAGAGTTCTAACTTTTGCATTCATGAGTTTTTAACCATCATAGGTTCAAAGCCCCTTTGGCATAGAATTCTTTTCTTTTAGAAATTGTAGTTGATAGCTCTTATTAACACACCCTTATAATTATACTGATAAGATAAATTAAACAGTTCACATAAACAGTACTAGAATGATTTTAGAATAATTCTTTTCCTTCCGGGAACAATACTCTACTGATTACTTTATTATTTGACACAATATGTATACTTGCATAGATCTAGAATTTATACAACAATTATGATCTATCACACTCTCTTGGAACTTCATCAGATGTTTTCTTTAAATTGATAAATATCACATGTAGATCCTCCTTATTCTCTCTAAACTTCCCCATCAGACCACTCAATGAATGCATAGCTTCCATATATAGTAGAACTTCCAAGCATAAATCTAATTTGATTTTGAGAAACAACAGATTACGTCATAACCTATGCTCAATTACTCTCTCAATTTCAATGCATAACACATTAATATAATTCCTCTATAATTCGCACTCTTGTGCATACCTTTATTCTTAAAATTAGGAAGCAACATACTACTTTTTCACTCATCTGGTATATTTTTAATCTTCAAAATAACAATAAAAAGTTTAGTAAGCTAAGAAATTTTCTTCATCTCATAAACATTTTTACACCTCTATTAGAATATCATTAGGTCCAACTATTTTTTCACACTTTATTTTTTTAAATTCTATCCAACTTCAGCTTTACTAATACTAAAATAAAAATAAAAACCTCTATTTCATTTAAGATACTAATATCACTAAAGTCAATCGTATTCTCAAAATCTTTATTAAAAAGCATATCAAAATATCTCATCCACCTATGTTGGATATCCTCTTCTAAATTTTCAACTACAACAACAACACAAGCCTCTACCCCACTATATGGGGTTGGCCACATGAATCATTTTTCTCCATTGTCCGGTTAAGGTCAAATTCTCATTTAAATCAAATAAAAAAGAGTCATTTCTAATATTTTCAAACCAAGTCTTTTTTTATCTAGATCTATCTTTCTTAACATATGTCAACATCTGCTATCCTAATCGGGTCATTGGAAGGCAGAAATTTTATGTGACAAAACCATCTAAGGCTATTCTCTAATCTTATCTGTCATTGGAGCTACTCCAACCTTTTCACATATACACTTGTTTCGCATTTTGACTATAAGAGTGAAACCACTCATCCACCTGAGCATCCTCGTCTCTGCAACAATCAACTTAATTTTATTCCTCTCTTTTAATGGCCAGCATTCTGTCCATAAAACATTGCAAGCCTCACTACCATCTTATAGAACTTTCTCTTTAAGTTTTAGGGATAATTTTCTACTACACAACAGTCGTGATGCATCCCTCCACTTCAACTATCCAACTTAAATTCTATTAATAATATCTCCATCTATTTTACCATCACTTTGACAATAGACCTGAGATATCTAAAATCTATACTCTTATTAATGACTTTAACGTCTAAAGTCGCAAACCCCCACTAGATCTATTGCTAGTAAAATTACACTCCATGTATCTAGCATGAAAAAAAAAACTCAATGATTCAAATAAGATGGTTTAGCACTTTAGCACACTTTAGCACACTTTAGCACAAAAGAGAATCTTAAAAGTCTTGGATGAAACCGTTTTAAGCGAAGAAAAAAGGATCAGATAATTCTAACGAATATGCATCAGAGTAAAATTTTGATCAACCAGCACGGTTGTTGCACAAGCTGGCAGATTAACATTTGCTGTAACATTTGTTGTAAAATTGCTATATAAATCATCATCACAATTGCTTATTGTATGTTTTCTCTCCATAATAATTTCAAATTTCCAGACATTAAATCAACTTTTCCTGACATGTGCTTAAAAATGTTCTTTCATCTATGCAAACAAAAAATATGCCAATAATTCAAAAGGTTCCGTAAAGACTAAAGACAACTATATATCCTCACCAAACTTCTTGTATTATAACTTACATGAAACACGATATTTTGATAATTAAAAAAAATCAAAGAAAAAGCAATTAGAGAACCATACCTTAGCAAAAAGAAGAATTGGTAGTTGCGTTCCAGTTATTGAAGTCACATTATCATTGTTGATAGTTTCAAACAAAAGAATTGGGCAGCCCATGTCCCAACCACCACAATCACAGCCTCCACCAAATCTCCATCTGTCAAGTAATGAAGAAGGCCCATCTTCCTCACTGTTAGGGAGACCATGTCTCCCACTGGGTGTAACTACCTTTATATATGCAGAACTAGGGTGAGTACCAACGGTAACTCTTGTCTGATCTGCTACAGAAACACTAGAAAAGCCTTTGTTTCCACTGCTGTACTTTTCTCCCGCTTGAATATTTTTCAAGGCATCTTTCTTAGTAAAAGAGATCTGAATAACAATGGCAGCGATTTCAAGGTTTGGCTGTAACTCGGTTGGTTCCCAGGGACAAGAAGTTGAATGTTCCGAGTCAAAGTCAGAGGAAAAGACGCTAACAGGATAATGGTTGTTTCCAGCCTTATTCAAGCGACTTGATTCTGAAGCTTCTGCAACTAAACTGTCTGCAACAGTAAAAACAGCAGTTTGACTGGAATTCGATGAGACATGGGATCTCTCAACCGCATGGTTCCTTCTTGCTTGAGCAATGTCATACATAGTGAACTCTGTAACAGCTGAGTTATCAAAAGATCCAGCACCAGTGATCTCTGGGCACAAGTAACAAGAAACCTGCATCTGACCAATCATTAGAGATAGCTGATCATGTCTGTCTTTTGTTCTATTATTGTGGCTATTACTTTTCTTTTTACAGCAATGGAAAGTATACATCCAATTAAAATCATTTTCAGCTTTCCATGTCTTCGCACAGAGAACATCTTCATTATCTTTAACAGAGAATTCATACAGTGGGGCACCATGGTTACATTCCAATCTGAGAGCAGCATGCAAGTGAGCAGGAGAAATAGCTGTTTTCATCACATGGTCACTTCCGTTAGATTCACTGTCATTTTCAATCTTCTGAGCTGCCCTTGAGAAATCATTCAGTAGGTATTTGGGGAAAATTTTATGTCTACTTAAGTTTCGAGCATCGGAGGCTGTACCACTACTGATTTCTGGTTCCTTGTGAAATGGGTTGCGCAGAGATTTAGATTTCAAAATAGGATCCAACATCTTCTTAAATGGACTGAAACGAGTCTTTGGGCTGGATTTTAAAATCTCTCTTTCTAAATGATAAGATGTGATTGAAGTTCCTACATTTGCTGAAAAGGATTTGGGCAGAATGCAAATAGAATCTCTGTTATAGATAATACCAGCATCAACTCCATCACTAAACAACTGAAGTGTACCAGAATTTGTTTCTTTTACCTGCACTTTCTCTACAAACTCAGGAGCTTCCTTTCCAGAAAAAATAGCGATCTCTTCGGTCCGCAAGTGCATTTCCAAGAGGTTATCTGCAGAACTGATGCCTGCTGGATCTGTATTTGAGCTTGAAATACTGATCTTTGAACGGTCCTCTAAGAGTTCGCGGAATGACAAGTCTAAAAACTCAATATTTTCTTTCGGAAATAACTCACAAGATGGAGAATCTTGATCCATGTTTAAAGACATCAGAGCTTCTTTAGTTGGTTGAGGAAAGTAAACAGATTTTTTTGATGAATGCCGTGGTGAGGATTTGATAACTTCAAAAGACAGAAAAGCATCATCACTACGGTATTGCTTCACACTCCTGCTATCTGTATCCTCTTGAATTCTTCTGACTTCTTCTGAGCTTTGATACATAGAACCCCGCTTTGGCACCTCACTATCTTTTACATCCATTCCAATTGACCTGGAAGGCATGCTTTTCCGAAGGGAACAGGCAGGATTACACAAAAACAATTCACTAGAATCGTTAACAATCAAGCCATAGGTGCTCAAGTGTCGCCATCTTTTATCTCCATCTTCTGCATTTGTACATTGATATACAACCCTCTCTTCTGCCTTCTTCCTATTAGAGAAAGATGAAATTGCAATCTTAGATCTTGGTCCAACCTGGAAAACATTTTCACTCTCAAGTGCGATGTCGAGATCCATTGAGATGTTGACAATGAAGAAGAAAATTAAGTCAGCCTCTTATCACAGAACAGTTATCGAACTTCAAGACACAAAAGCACCATGCCTCTCACTACAGCACTCATCATTTTAACCTTTTAAAACTCTTTCTACTTTCATGCAGCCTGATAAAGGAATGCATATAAATAATCATTTGCATCTGATGGCTGAGCAGCTTGAACAGCTTGAGCGCATGGTCACTAACATCATCAAAATAATTTAACAAGAGAAAGTGTCATATCCACCACATAAGGCTCCCACCAACTGGAAGATCCAGTAGCTGTTAATTGAATTACATGTTCATCAGTCGTGTTGTTACCCTGCACAAATCAGGAAAAGAGTTATCTAAACAATACGCATAAAGGCTAGCAAGCTCAGTTAGGTTCAGGAGTTCTTCATAGATCATAAAGAATTCGCACAAGCTAGTCTAGATTTGTTCTCAAATGCCAAAGCATTTCAAAAATCCAACCTTCTAAAAAAAAGTTCTTAAGAGTCATTCATGAAAGGAAGACCACCAGTAGAAACCTGTGGACAAGAATGCTACAAAGATCGATGATGAAAATTGAAAATAAGTGCAAAGGAGAACAAACAAAATACAAAATTTATTTGTTAGACAAAAAATGCCTTCATCCACGGAGCAAGCACTGTTGACATAATAAACCTCAAAATGAATGAACATGGAGGGCAGGTGCAAGCAAGTCAAATTAGAATCAACCTCAAAATAAAAATGAGTCAATTCGATATGAACTCAACTCAAAAATCGATATGAACTCAACTCAAAAATCGAAATATATTTCAAGTCAAGCCAGCTTGACTTGAAAGTGTCAATTTTAGTCAACTCAAAATTTAACTGGATTTAATCATGTCCTAATCTGGTATTCTATTCTTTTTTGTGAAATTTTTTGTTATTTGTTTATTGGATTCCTCTGGCAATTCCTTGTTAATATAGAACTCTCTCATTAACCTATTTAGCAGCTTTAATGACTTTATTCTTGATGCTCTACTGATTAGATCTTGTGCTCCTGTGGAGCTTCGCATTAACTTCTAGCAGCTTCTCTTCAACAAGTAAAACAAATTTCTTAACTTCAAACCTGCTGACAGACGAGCTTTCAGACTACTTGCTGCTTGCTGGGAGATGAGGATCTAAAAGGAAAGGCTTAGCACCATCCCTGACCTGCGTCACTCGCTTACTTCAAAAATGCTTCAAGTCCTACTGATAAAAGAGAAACGACTGACTTGCTAGCTTCCCGAACTAGCTAACTAGTGAGTGCATCTATTTTCTTTTTGGCTTTTTGGGCAGGCGCTAGTAGAGGAGTAGGTCTTGCCTGGCTTGCAAGACAACAAGAAAGATTTATTCTTTATGCTACGCCCTAGGTATCAAGACCGGTCGTGGGGTTACACTCGAAACCAACAAAAGCAACTCCTCAATAAAGTAACTCAACTCGAAATATCGTCGTATAATAGAAAGAGAAAAACACAAATTTGTGTTTTTTCACAGTCTGAGGAATTGCTTCGTTTCGCTCGCACCTTTGGTTCTCCCCGAAAACAATGTCCGACTTGCACTAGCTTTTCGGGCTTGGGGTAATGGAATGGGAGGCGCGACTGAAAGGAGCGATTGAGAAGTTCCTGCTAAGAAAGCTTTCTCTTTCTTCAAGCCAAGGAGATCCTATTTAGAAATCATCTATTCTAAAGCACACTGCGTCTTTCTTGTCTATAGCTAGGGCCCTTGAGCCTTCTGTCAATAGGAGTTCTTCCGGTCAGTCAGTCAAGTAGGTAGTAGTTCAATTTGGTCGATCTGAGACTTAGTTAACTCTTTTATCCGGATGCAGAAAAAACCATAAAAGCAGCCTGCCACATGATCACTAAATAGATCAAAAAAGGTGCTAATTCAGTCATAACAACAGTCAACTTCGTTCTCTCGCTCTGCTCGCGTTGCTAGCGGAGTGGCATAAAGTTCAAATTGAAAAGCTAAACTGGTCGAGGTCTTGAAGTCATGCATTAGCCTATTGGGGACCGGCTTTCGTGAAATCACTTATGGGAAATGGTTCCTCTGCATCGAGACTCTTGAACCAAGACTCGTAACTGAATCTCTTTCTTCTTATATACTCTATACATAACATAATTTTGTAGATAGAAGTAGATTTAGATAATCTCACTTATGTGACAAACAAATAGTCTTCAGCCCATAACTAGTAACCGTTTGTCATCAGTGATCACATTCTAGCTCTTTGACGCTTTCTTCTCCAGAGTTCTTGTTGATCCGGGTGCATCGGTCAACATTATGAACTTAAGGGTCCTCGCTCACTTGGAAATTGACGTCCGCCAGTTAAGCTCCGACAAGATGATGCTACGAGGATTCAACGAGCAGGGCGAGAGAGCCCTTGGTTCGATAACCCTTCTACTCAGAATTGGAGACTTTCAGACTGAAGCAAAGTTCAACATCATCGACTCAGAGACTTCATTCAACGCTTTGCTTGGAAGACCCTAGCTTCATGAACATAGAATGGTTTGATCAAGCCTTCCCTGACTTTTTATTTGCATTTGTTCTCGAGAGGTTAAATAAATTGACGCCAAAATAATTTTTTAGCATTTGTATATAGGATATTGCTTGGGCAATTCCATCATCATGATCATACGGGTGAGTTATATACGCAACTCAGTGGGTAAATCATAATTTTAAGTAACAATAAATACAATTGGAGAAGCAATATGTATATTAGCTTTAAACATTTAAATAACGGGAGGACATGGAGATTTATACAGAGTAATTTGGAAACAAATTTTCATCAGTGACATGATGATAGCATTGAGAAACAATTATATAATAAGCATAAACTGTAGAGAGAACATATTAGTTGTCATATATTGGCATCGTAATCAAGGACTGGAGCCATCATATATTTGGCACCGCATTGATTATAGCATGATTATAGCATTTGAATATCATCATCATTGTTCATAGCATAGTGTGAGACATCTCAAGATAAATAACTATATATTCCATCTCAAAAGCCTTAGCAAAAATAGCCTGTCATTAATCAACTTATTGCTAGCCGATACATCCCTTGTACGCGCAAGAAAGATGCAGGACATATGTGCTATTCTCAACAATGAGAGGTCCTTCACACCACCTTTTGATAAATCCCTATGGGCTCCGAAAATTCGCGCCCCGGACTCTCCGCGAACCCTCTTATTTTCTTCGGGTCATCAATAAGAGTTTTAATGTTTAGGTTCCAAGGAAATTTTTCAGAAGGCGCCATCAAACAGATACATGGTATATTGCGTTTAGTAGCAGCATGATTTGGTATTTGAAATTTTGATATTTAAAACTAGAAATTCACCACCTTGCGCTTAAAGCGGATGTTTGGGGAATAATGATGAGCCCGATCAAGATCACATGGTTCCGTCGTCCTGGGTCATTATGATCCCTAGTCTACTTAGTCAGAAGAGGTAGTCAGCCTAACCTGACAGTAGGATTCTTTTCGGCAACCATGGGTTGCTTCGTCCAATAGTACCTTGTAGACCTATGGTAAATATTTGTTTACGGAGACAAATTTGAATTCACTTTAGCTAATAGAGGGATTTATTCCCTAATGATTATATCCTATTGATTCATATCTCAAGGATTTGAAGTCATTGAAGAACATGCAGGCTCTAATCATGATCGTAATTTAGTGGTGTCATTTGGTGGCAAAACCACCTAATTCAGAGGATCATGGTCATAAATGTTTACCTGTGGTGTCATTTGGCGGCAAAACCACCGGTTAGAATACATGTGTCAAGTCCTTACTAGCAATAGATTATTTGAGAATGAATTTTAATAATATTCTTTAATAAACATTTGCTCTTTGTCAGCTAAAGTGTTTTTTAGATTTGTCTATCTCGACAAACTATTGTGAAGGGTAGATGGGTATTTTGCTTTATGTGTTTTGATGATTTATTTCAATTTTAGATATTAACATCATTGGGTGTATTTTATGTTAATTTGGGAGGTATTTTTATATTTATGGTATCCTCCGATTGAGATTTTCTATTAATACGACCATTATTTGGGGTTTTCAAGGACAAATTCATTTTTTAATCGAACCTTGTCCGCTCTGTCTTCTTGACTATAGAGGATCGGGTTCATTATTAGTTTTATACTTTTATTAGTGAATTTTTTTGTTAGAGACATTGAATGTCTAATATGAATGTATAAAATAAATATTATGGTCGGCATTATAACAGTATAATTGTTTCATAGCTGAGCCGTGTCGACTCCTATCTACCCACATAGAAGGATCGATCCTGTTGTCGGCTTTATACATTTGTTAGTTAATTTTTCTTATAATAGATCTTGAAAGCCTAATATTAATGTATAAAATAAATATCCTGATCAACATTGTTACTGTATATTTGTTTGATGGTTTGAACTGTGTTGATCCTTATCCAATTATTTAGAAAGATCGGGCTCAATTTTGGAATTATTTTTGACTCGTACAGCATCCTTACACGCCATATGCGTACCTACAACACGCACGTCGGGGCCTGTGCATGAGTATGCTTTTATATGTTATTTTGCATGATATATTTGTATAGTGTTGTATGTATTCAAATATCTATGATCAACATGCATATTCGCACACACGCCCATTCCTTTATTTGTATATTAATATACTTGTATGTGCATTTATGTATCAACATATATACAACCATGTTAGTCTACGTGTTTGCATTTTGCATGAAGTGTTTGATATGCATTATAGTGATTTAGCACATTAACATGGTGTATAGTGCATTTGTATAATATATTTACACGTCGTTGATTTGTCAATATGATATATTTGCATAATAGTTCAACGTGTGAATCCAATAGCATGGCATTATTCTTCAGTTATTTGCTACTTTATGCAGGTAGATTGTTATGCATTAATGATGAGTATAAATAATATTATATTTTATATGTTAAATTGCTAGTAAAACCATATTATTTTAGTTGTGTTGTGAAGGAAAATACAAGAAAGACCTGAAATTCTAAATATCATAAAGCGTCGCGGTATTAGACACTATACCGCCGCGATGCCATCATTGACACTGCTAGAGTGCCCATTATGGACATGGTTGCCCGATCTCTATTTGACAGTGCCACGGCATTGAAGGAGCCAATGCTATAAAGCCCAGTTTCTGTCTGCACAGCGCCGTTATACTAATTTCCAATGCAGCCAAGTCGAAGGGAGTGCCACGTGAACATCATAGCGCTCAACCATCAATAGCGCCACAGCACTATAGTTGTAACCAACCAGGACATAATCTGTCAGCGAAGTGATGCGTCGATTCATTTAACAGCGGGTCCACATCAGCAAGCGCCGCAAATGAGGAAATTCTTCAGCGCAACGGCATTAGTTCATTTATGGGAGCCATAGCGCAAGTCTCTACAATGTCGCAGTGCATGTTTCTAGAGCGCCGCAACGTCAGAGCCCATTTTCTATATTTTTTTATAAATAGTCCATTTGTAATGTTAGTAAAATAGTTCAATCACTTAGTTAATTTCAATCTTCATAGTGTTTCTCTACAATTTTCTTAAGAGAGAAAATTAAGAGAATTCAAGGAGCACTAGATCCACTTCATAAGTGATTTTGGTCAATGTTTATGGAAGCAATTATGTAAATTTAAAGAAGAGTGTAAAAGAGATCATTGAACTCATTTGGTGATATCTTTTCTTTAGTATTTTCTTTCTATTGTGCAATTAATAAAAATAAGTTTGCTTCACTTTTCCTTCATGTGTGGTTAAATTCTGTAATTTTGGATTAATTGTGTAAATGAAACATGGAATACTAATGAATTCTCTTCATCAATAATTTAGTGATGTTTTCAATATATGAGGTCTTCATTTAATGTACATAGCAACCATATGTATGGTTAATATCAAGTGTAATGTGGAGCCTAGGAATAGAAAAGCAGGCACAACTAGGTATTTTAGATTAATATGATGCCTGAAGAGTAGGCATAATGCTTGATATATATATATATATATATCAAATTTAAAGAGATGAATTGTAATACGGGGGTTTTAACAGAACATGCTTAACTTACTCTTCTAAGATTTTCATAGGGTAGCAAAATATGGGAGTTTAGAGTGGCATTGAGGTAGGAAGGTTTAATCTGTCATTTATCTATTCACGCTCGACTGAGCAGTCGGTGATACATATGCTCTGAATAGCATCAATATAAAAGATAATCATTAGGAAATATATTGTATTTACGTTCCATCAATCCAAATATTTTATCCAAATAGTGTTTTATTTAAATTTTTTATTGATTTTAAATTAAGTGATTGAATCTCCACCAAAATTTATTTTTATTGAGTATGATAATTATTGTAATTATAGTAGACAGTACCAATATTTGCAAGTAAACATTCTTCCTCATGGGATCGATATTCTACTCTATCATTAGATTACTTGATCCGGCATAGTTGTCTATATATTGCATATTATTAAATGGTAGGTCGTTTTCAACTGATTAATATGCTCCTAGCTGAATATGCTGAAAGCATTCATTATTATTATTTAAAAAAAAAACTATGAAATCATAAAGCAATGGAGAAGAAATGATCGGAACTGTTAACAAAACAAACAAGCAAATGAAACACGATGATGAGCAACTTCAGAGGCGATGAAAAATTGAAGTCATAAGGAAAAAAGGTAAACAACACAACAACAGTAATACAAATTTGTTATGATCAATAACAGGAGCAAGCATGCTTCCGCCATCAGCTGAGCTTTCCCTTTTCACTCCAATTTTCAATAACAATGGATAAACGCAAATATACCCCACCCAAAGGCAGTGCAACCGGAAGCTGTATGCTCATCCATGAACCTAAGCAGGCAATGGTTGCTGCAATGAATGCATAGCTCAGCATCTGGACCTCCCTCATCTCCAACTTCTGCACCAGGGAACAAAGGAGAGGAAAATTGGTTTGCTGAAAACACTTTTAAAAAAAACCACAACCGACAAAACATCATTGTCAAAAGCAGAGAAGTGAACTAAAACAGCGTTAATCAACCAGATCTTACTAATCTATCACCTGACTAATGCCATGAAATCTAGAACAATACCATAAAGGCAAAACAACAGAGATTTTCTCTCACGTTCCTCCTAAATAACATCAGTAAACCCTAGCTTCACTTCTAAGTCTAGCCGAAAACACCCCTTGTAGCTCGACCGGACTGAAAAACGAACACCAACGGCACCAAAGGACCCAAACAAATTACCTTTGAGCTCGAACAACGAAGAAGCGAAGAAAAGTGAGGTGAGACGGGAGACAAGAAACCCGTAGCGCTTTTTGCTGCAATGCCCGACGCTGCGGTTTCATAGTGGCCAGTGGAGCAGTGGGGGAGTCACCGACGGCATGACACTGGTCTGCATTGGAAGTCGCTACTCTCCGGTGCTTTTGTCAAGTAAATAAATAATTTCTTAATCAACAACAATCAGAGTGTCAGAACAATTTTACGTCTCTTATAATAACGTTTTCCTTTTTTAAATGAAGCAATGTGCCCATCGCCAGATCCGTTGATGTATTGCAGAAGAAAATTACTAAAAAAACCTCTCCAATTTAGCAATAGACCCGTAAAATTCGTGATTGAATGATTCGTTGGTCCAAGGAGTTATCCTTCTTAGCCATAATTGAGGCCCCTAACATATTGGGCGATCTTTCTGCAATAAGCAAATATAATTTTCAAGGACATTGTATGATTATGGAGAAGAAATGAAGGGTATATTTGTAAAAAGGAAGCAGAAGGGCCTCGGGAGATTCCCTTGGTTCTTGCCACGTTGTTGTATAAGGCGAAGCGTAGACCGACGGAATTGTTGGAAGGGAATCTTGTAATTTTATTATTCATTAAAAATATTCTTAAATATATTTAAAGTTTACAACTAGGAATCATCAATTTGTATTCGAAACATTTAACTAGCTAGCTCCTGAGGCCATTAAAAAAAAAAGCTCCGGAGCCCTTTGTCCTGTACTGCCACGTTGAATTATTGGAAAATTCAAATTAATGTAATTTATAATTTTCTAATATTTTATGTCAAAATATATCATTCACAAATATATTCGAGTACTTACACGAACATATAACGTCATTGATAAGAGAAATTATTCTGTGCGAAAGTTGGATGTAGCTCTACATTCAGGGCAAATCAGGTGCAACCACATCAGCGGTACTGAGCAGTACCAAACTACAATACCTACCGAATGGATGACTTGGTGCATTCTGATTAGTCTCTGGAAGACCTTCAACGTCCGCACAGAATAAATAATCCACTGGCAAAGTCATTGAGCGGAGGGTTCTAATCAACTTTTTTTATTATATAGTTTTGCGATTCAAAAGTCATTATTCAATTTATTGCATGTATGTCATCACATTATTTGTATTTTTTTTTTCCTTTTTAAAAATGACTAAGCAAATCTTCAATTTTGTAGAAAGATTAATAAAGATATTTTAAATAAGTTAATCTTAATTAAGTTTTTCACTTAATTAACAAAGATTAATAAAAAAAATCTTAAATAAAAGTTCATAAAACCCCCATTTTGATTGAATCGCTTCACATGAAATTCATATAAATTTTTATGAGCTTCTTCAACAAGTATGACCTTAAACAAAAATCTTCAATTTTGTAGAACACAAACTTCACAAATAAAGAAAAATATATATCTTGTCCACAATTAGGGGTGTCAATTCGGGTCAGCGGGTCGGGCTCGGGTCGAACCCGGAACTGACTCGGCACTATTCGGGTCAACCCGAATCCGACCCGTTTTTAAAAATGGGTCAGGTTTCTGGACCCGAACCCGACCCGATTCGGGTCCGAGTCAACGCGACCCGACACGAATGGCCCGAAGTTGACCTAAAATTGCTAATTTTCAGGTCAAAATCGGGACAATATTCGATTTTCGAATCAAAATCGGGTCAAAAATTGGTCAATCTCGGGTTTTCGGGTTAAATATGAGTTTTCGTGACACTTTCGGGTCAATTTCGGGTTGTTGGGTCAACCCAAACCCGACCCAATTTTTAAAACGGATTGATTTGTTCAACCCAAACCCGACCCGTTTCGGGTTCGGGTTGACCCAAACCCAAATTTTTCAGGATCGAATTCGGGTCGTGTCAAAAATTGACACCCCTATGGGCAATTTTAATAAAATAATATTTATAGCGCGTACAGAAGCAATCTAATAAATACATATCGGAACATTACCATTTACATCTTTATAGAAAGATTTTTATGCGGCATCAAAAATGCTCTTGAATATAAAACTAACGCTAAACTACTTATAGTAGATTAATAAATTCATTTATGTCTAAATCATTAAAAAAAATAACTAACTCAGTGAAAATTAATAATTGATTATTTTTTACTAAAAGCATAAAATATTTCAATATAATTTCTATAAATATTTAAGATTTCAATATTATACAAAACATTATCTTATTTTATTAATTTATGTATACACCCACCTTAGTTGAGTCTTATTGATTTTACTTGCAGGAAAGGACTGTGCGGACTCCAAAAGTAGATGACCGTTCAAATTTGCTAAGTATTTACTGCATATTTATAGATACGTAGTAAATATTCAACAAATCCTCAATTGTGAATATTTGCAAGTATTTGATAATTTTTTGCTAAATATTTATTGAATATTTGCTAAAATTTGTTGAATATTTACTACGTATTTTAAAATATATAATAAATACTCAACAAATACGTAACAATCAGATCGGTACAACTCGGTATTTGCACAGGATTTGCTCGGTATTGCTAGAAAAAACTCGATACAACTCAATATTTGCTCGGTATTATTAGGTATTTGCTCGGTATTGGTTATTGCCGAGCAAAATCGACCAACACCTAGCAATACCGAGCAATCTTGGGTCCGTTCCGGATCGGGTTGTCGGGGGGCGCGATAAATAATGAAAATGCGTGTCGCGATTCTACTAGCGGCCGAACATAGAGTTGCGTACGTTCACCGGACCAAATAAAAGTTCCTTGCGGAGTATCGCCCATCCTAGGAATCACGGCAACTTAATCGAGCGGCCAATATTAACTTGTAACAACACAGCTAAGTTCTTCTAACATTATTGGAGCCAATTATATTCTGATATTAACATTTCACATTGATAATACTCATCTCGCTGTACAGATCTTGCATTGCTCCGGCTTTTTGACGGACTTCGCTTTCTGTAGTACTAAAGTGAAAGCTCTGATTACTGTCGACTTTAGTGGTCCAGCTTGTAAGACGCGCGGCTCTGTGTATTCTTGGTAGAAATAGCAATTCTTAAGAGTTGAGGCGGCCATTGATGGAGTGGGCGCCGTGGTGGCCCTTCAGCTTTGCAGTTAGCCGTGCGTAAACGGATCTCTGCATCTTAATGGCCTCTAGGATGCTTTCATTTAGTTGCTTGCAGAGCTCGTCCAGTGCAAGCATGGGGAATGGCTCCTCGATCAAAACTCCGACCTGGAATAAAAATAAAGAAAATTAATTAGAAAACTATGAGAGCCTAGATATATATAACTATAACAAAATTTACATCGATAATTAAGTCACAGAGAAGAACAAATCTGATGAGTTGAAACCTCCACGCGAAATTCTCCTAATGGAGCCAATTTTAAGGCAAATTATTACGTTCGGTCACTGGACCTAGAAATAGGTCCGGACATCCACTAAAAATTTGCCACGTGGACTGCGTTTTGAGTCAAAAAGTGCAGGTAAAGCACAGATAACGTGCAGGTAAAGCCAAGGTAAAGCGTCGTCAAAAAAGCACAGTCAAAGCGTAGTGAAAGCGCACAGGCAAAGTACAGTCCATCTGGCAAGTTTTTATTGGATGTCCGGTGACCGGACCTAATAATTTGCCCAATTCTAAAGACTCAGCAAGAAGAATGACTTGAAGTAAAGTCATTTAACTAAATTAAAATATATATATTTGACATAAACTTTTTTTTTTTTTTTTTTGATACTCTATTTATTTATTTATATTTTTTACATAAACTTTTTTTTTATACTATTACATAAACATTTATGGAAACTTCGAGTAATACTTTCCATGGAAAAAAATGAAAAGACAAAGGAGAAAAAAATGATAACAAAGTGGAGAACTTACTTCCTCAATGCAAAACAAGGAGGCTGCGCTAATGAAGGTAGCTGGAACTACAATCCAATTGCAGTCATCCCAAAGTATAATTGGAAGAGATAAATGCCACAATACTAGAAACCTTGATGTCAAACGAGTGTAAGATAAGGGGATTGGGATGCCAATGATTTGCTCACAAACACTGATGCCATCATAAAAGCAAGAAATTTTAGACTCCTGTTCACAAAATCAGTTTATATGTATTAGTTAGTTGATGCCAAAACAGTTCTCAGCTACAATCGTCAGGCAGAAGGCAACTAAACAAGCAACTCAGTCGAAATATATTTAACTGTAAAAAACTTTGAATATGAATGAGTACAAAATGCCCAGACATTTGACAGATACCAAATAAACATCCTTGTTTTCTTCCGCAAAGTAGATGTTCTCTTTATTTTCTCTGAACTGACGGAAATTCTTACAAAGTGATAGCCATCTACATATTAAGGTTTTGTTTGGGATGTCTTTCTTACTGCTTCTTAAAGCAGCTTTCTAGTATAAAAAATTTAATTTTTTTACAAAAAAACTGCTTTAAGAAGCAATAAGAAAGCCGTCCCAAATAGAGCTCAAGTCAATGCATATAAATAGCTTGCTATTGGAGTTCAACGCTTCAAGTCAATCATTTATTGTTTCTTTGTAAGTCATTTTTAATCCCTGTTTTTAGGACATTAAAAGTGATTTTGTTATTAATTTATGACATTTGAGTCACAGTTGTTTGCCATGAGATTTCAATGCTATTATTCCTGCATATTACGGTAATTAACTTTAGTGTGGACAAGTCAAATTAGGATGTATTTATTGTTATTTATTAAAGATGTTAGATCGCTATCATATTCAAGCTAGTTGCATAAATAGTCCCAGCAAAGTCTTAATGAGTTTTTGATGATACGATTGAAACTGAGATTTGTTCTTTGGATGTGAAATTCATTGCCTTGTTAGTATGAAGCAAGAATCATGTTTCTCCATTGAAGTTATTATCTTATCTTTATCACTCAACTTCTCATATGCCATATCCTGATCCAAAACACCCGCAATACACCATTAAATATTCAACCAAAACATTGAGCAGGCGGAAGGGGAGTGTAATTGTTATGAACCAAAGGGTTACAACAACAACATCAAGCCTTTGTCCCACTATGTGGGGTCGGCTACATGAATCCTTTTTTACCAGTGTTCAGTTAAAAGTCAAATTCTCATTTAAATCTAATAAATAAAGATCATTTCTAATATTTTCTAACCAAGTCTTTTTAGGTCTACCTCTACCTTTCTTAACATAAGTCAAATCTAATACCTCAATTTTCCTAACCGGGTCATCGGGAGGCCTTCGTTTAATGTGACCAAACCATCTAAGGCGACTCTCTCTAATCTTATCTTTCACTGGAGCTACTCCAACCTTTTCACATATATGCTCATTTCGTATCCTATCTCTAAGGGTAAAGCCACTCATCCACCT